TAGCTCTATAGTTTTAATGTTATTTAAGTTAAAAAGTTTTAATTGAATTGATTGAATTGACACTAAAATGTCTCCTTAAAAATATCACATTTATTCCCTTTTTAAATGCAATTAGTTTATCGAGTACTAAGGTTTGCTGCAACATTGAGGGTAAGAAGTAAATAAATTTTGAAAATTAACTATTATTGGATTGCTATACCTCATCTCCCATGATCAATCGTTTCATGTATATTGTGCGTTTATAAGCCAATCGTCAACATCTTACTAAAGTAGAGGCACGACTCTCGGCTTTTCAAATAATGTTATACAATGTCTTGGCACTTAAAAGATGAGAGAATTGACAAGTAACGATCCTTATATCCGCGAGCTACGCAAAGATCGCTACGAGTGTCAAAACGTAAAACGGTTTATTTTTGGCACTACTACAGTATTATACCAGAAAAGAGTGAATTGGTGTTATATAAATAGCTTATTTTATTTGTTTGGCTAAGTTCAAATTTGTTTTTTGTAATTAATACAATTTAAATTACCGATTATATTACACGACATTAAAAGCTATGCTTTGGTGCTACCTAGTGGTAACTAGACGAACTGTGGCGAACAGCGATGTCTAGCGGTGACTGGATGAACTGTTCCTAACTAACTCATTGTATATATTTATAGGCATGCGCTGTGGATGCGATGCTCCCTGGTGTGGATTAACGTCCGCACTAGTGGGTTCTACGGCTATCCGCTGTACTATCCTGATAATTAGATCAATTCCTTAATTACAAGGAAAAATGTGATTCGGATTCCACTATAATCTGTGGGCCCCTCAATTGCCATTGGCTCTATGGGCTATTAATTAACAGCTGTGTCTAAGGAACATGTCGGCCTTAGTACTAAACTACAATATCGTGCCACTCATCCTACACTCATCCTTCACTTATATTTGGGTTACAATACGCACATAGTGGCGTCCCCACCTGCATAATTGATATAATTAACTGATTATCTTGGGCTGTATAGAAATTAGCTCAAGTTAAATAGTTTTAAGTACATATACACTACATACACACCAATTAATAGTTGTTATCTAACTGTGTTTTGAAACCTTTAAACGATTTGATTTAAATTATAATGTGGCTTATAATCAATCATTCTATGATTAAATTTTCAATCAGTTAAGTTGTGATTGACTAAGGTTTATTTACATAAAAAGCTTGGTAGTGACAGTTAATAAAGCCAATCATGTTTTTTGTTGGTTTTCAAATTGGGAATCACAATTTATTATAATAATAAGATAGATTGGTACAATATATTTAATCATTTCTGTGTGTTCAATGTAGGTCACTTATAAAATAATTAGCATTTATACAATAGTTTACAATTATTGCAATTTAGAGATGATTGGTAACAATAAACTGTAAAACAATTTATAATTATGGTTAAAATTTATGGTAAAAAAATTGTGATATATAAATTGTCCATTTATCTCCAAATTGAATTACAATTGATTTCTTTACCTGTTTCTCCGATATAAAAATGTAAGTTTAGAACACAAATCGTTATAGTGATTTCTTATTTCATACATGTAAAAATTGTTACTTAAAGTCCTTAAATTGGGTGGTGTCAAGGCATACGGTATTTTCTATTAAACAATAACAAAGAAAATAAGTATGAGCAAGAATGCAGTTCAAGAGAAGGAGCAAGTTGATAGGAACATGTGAACGTAATTTCCCACTTTCACTTTGAAGTTTACGTTGTCCAAAGCATTGTGTCTAATGAATGTACAATATTCTGTTAATGAGCTATAGGTTACACGGTTATACTTAAGTTCAAATTGAATTGTGTATGAAACCAGTCGATTAGCCACCGTTTCATTACAGTTATAGAGAATTTAGTTGTAACCAATCAAAAGTAGGTGCATTTTTTAAATTGACTTATTATGTTATCAATAAACAGTAGTAATATTAATTTACACATATATAGTCCCACTGAAACCACAGTAAACCTCCAAATCGTTATCTAAAATGTAGAAATTAGATAACATTCCCACCAGTTTTACTTCAAAGAAAATTAAAGTAAACTACATAAAAGTAATAAGTAGTGTAAGTTACATTAAAGTAAGTAAGTGTATTAAGGTTGTGTTGTTTAGTATGTTAGGGTTGAACATTTGAAAATCTAATTAAAACAGAAATTGATATTATTAGTAACCAATTACGTGACAAAACTCAAAAATTACTGCTATACGTTACTATTCTTTCAACGTCATATCGTGGCATTAAAATTTTTGCAATAGATATAGACCATCCTATTTGTATTACATATACCGTTGGTTAAATGGAATAAGTTTAGCATTGTCTACATGTTGAAACAAAATAAAATGTCCGTATGGATCATATAAAATAACTAGTCACAATATCAAAAATAAATGTTGGAAGATATATAAAAAAGTAAATGTCGATAGAAATAGTTGTGGTTTAGAATTTAGAGATTATTATCAAGGTAGAATTGAGCTTTAAGTTAGACAATTTAATGATGACACTAAGCGGTCGAGAAGATACAAATTATCAGTGATCATCAAAAGGGCTGGTTTTTTAGTGAGAAAATAATTGTTTAGGTAGGACTGGTCATAAAGTCAAAAAGTTATCAGTGAACATAGGACTGGTTGTGAAGTAGGAAATTATTTGTGTAGATTGATTTGGCCTTGAATATATGTATATACAGTAATTATGTGTATATATAGGACTAGTTGTAAAGCTAGAGATTATGTATTACTACTTGCATTGAATTACTAGTACTACTTGCATGATGATTATGACTGATTATGAAGTTAGAGATTATGTTTATAGATAGGACCGGTTGTGAATCCAGAGATTATGTTTATAGATAGGTCCAGTTTTAAAGTCATAGATTATGTTTATAGATGGGACCAGTTGTGAAGTTAGAGATTATGTTTATAGATAGGACCAGTTGTGAAGTTAGATAATGTTTATAGATAGGACTGGCTGTGAAGCCAGAGATTATGTTGATAGATAGGTCTGGTTGTGAAGTCAGATATTATGTTTATAGATAGGACTGGCTGTGAAGCCAGATATTATGTTGATAGATAAGTCTGGTTGTGAAGTCAGATATTATGTTTATAGATAGGACTGGCTGTGAAGCCAGAGATTATGTTAATAGATAGGACTGGCTGTGAAGCCAGAGATTATGTTGATAGATAAGTCTGGTTGTGAAGTCAGATATTATGTTTATAGATAGGACTGGCTGTGAAGCCAGATATTATGTTTATAGATAGGACTGGCTGTGAAGCCAGAGATTATGTTTATAGATAGGACTGGCTGTGAAGCCAGAGATTATGTTTATAGATAGGACTGGTTGTGAAGCCAGAGATTATGTTTATAGATAGGACTGGCTGTGAAGCCAGAGATTATGTTGATAGATAAGTCTGGTTGTGAAGTCAGAGATTATGTGCATACAAAGGACTGGTTGTGAAGTTAGAGATTGTTTTTATAGACAGAACTTATTGTAAAGTTAGAGATTATGTTTATAGATAGGACTGGTTGTATGGTTAGAAATGGTGCGTGAAGAAATGATTGGTTGACATGTTAGAAATTATCTGTGGACATTCGATACGTTGTCAGTGATGATCGGTAAGCGCACATAGTTGGTCGGTGTAGTAAGGGATGGTCTGTGTGTGGGGGAAGGTATTGTTGGATGGCTTTATCGTCACGAGAGTGAAAGAGGGGGGGTATTGAGGATCGTAACTCCGCACTCAGCCTAGTCCAACACCTCGGTTTTGAATTATCAATTCCCTCTGAGAGCTACTTAATATTCATTTAAGGCTTTACACTTTGCATCTTACTACCCAATGAACCTTTTTTTAATTGGCACGTTTACGATTCAGCATCAGGTTAGTTGTTATGAAAAAGATCATGGTAAAAAAATGTAAGTTTGGATATCTATGTAAGTATGGGTTGGATACATTTACAATTTGATAGTTTTGAAAAATAGACAACGCTGATTGGTTTTGTGATTAATTTACTTTTTCCTTATAGCCAGGTCCAACCAATGACGATTTGGCTATGACCCAATGATTATAGTTCTTCAAAGCAAGAAGAAGTGACTCTGCAATCAAGATTTAACTCCATACGAAGCCATTCGAAAAGGTATTTACTTCTGAGCATATCTGCAGCATCATGTTAAGACTGCAGTTAACTTTCGCAAATGAAATTTTTAACATTTTCTGATGGAAAAGCATTCGTATCAACGAACAATGGGGTTTCGTGTGGGATGTTCTTTGTATGATTTGTTTTAAATGTATAATCCAAGTCCTTAATTAGTTCTATTGCTTTTAAAAATGACACTTATCTTAAAGCTTGTGAGAAGTTTGTAAATAGTAAACTTAATTTTGCCTTAATTGTCCTCTTGACCTCTTTCTACACAAGCCTGGAGACGTTTTGAGCCGCAATGCAATTAAACCTCAATTACTTAATTGTTGAGTAACGAGGTAATTGCATTCTGTAAAGTGTGTGATGACCTTAACCTCGTAGGGACATGACTGATTCATTTTATATTTGAAAAATATTTTTTATGAACAAATAATAAAGGAAAATACTAACCCAATGTTATAGATTAACCTTATAATAGCAAATAAATAATAATGTACAAATAACGTGAAACTACGATTGGACATTTTAGTTAATTAAACTTTTCCTTAGCTTGCCATTTTTAAATTGGCAGTTTTTTTTCGAAGCCGTTTGATTAAACAACAACGTAAGTTATAATCAGTGAAATATGTTAAGTCCTCATTTTTTAAACTTCTAAACACATTCTTTAGATTTACCTTCTGGAAGTTTTCATTTAAGGATTAAGAAAATACCCATGCGGTATAAAACGTCAATTTTATTTCCTCTTACAAAATAATGATATAAAAGAGTTACTTAAAACAATTCAAACAAGTATATTTTTAACTATATAAATATTGTTTGAAATATATTCTATGTATTTTTTACATAGTTCAACATAAGACCTCATAGATTCAGCTAATCACAGCAAAAATGACTGCATTTACGTTCATTCATACGTAAAACCTCTTGCGATAATGTGTATAATTTAATGCTCACGAAATAAACATAGCTTTGAATATTACTAAATATTGCATTATTTAGCTATTCCAACTGATATCACAAATATTCCATGAAGTATATAATTCGAATATAAAGCAAAATCTAAACAAATATTTAATTAAGTAAAATATTGTAGGCCTACTTCGTCTTCATATTTTGAAACATACTTGATCATTAGTCATAGCACGATCATTGTTACATGAGTTTTTTTTATCCATAGAACAGTAGCTGTTGTACTAGACGGCAGTATAATATAGAGCTAAGATCGTTCACACTCAGGAATATTTCTTGCTGGTAGGGGAATTTCCTATCCCAAGAAAGAGTTGGTTAAATTGCGTATTACTGCTTTAACAGATTCCCTCAAAAGACGACGATGACCTTTTCCTTTCTATATTTTGATTTTTTCTTGGCTGCCACAACTCAGAATTAGATTCCGCTGTGCAACATTTCCAGCAAATCCTTTAATGTCATAGTTCTTAGCTGCTTCATCCAATTTCTGGTTGATCCTGCCACAATAGTTATTGGTGTTCTCAATATTTCAGCATGGTGCAAATGCTACTTGAGGAAGAATTATCCTTACAAGAGTGGTTGTTGTGGATCTTGAGCATTATCTTAGCTCAAGATTAGTGATATCAAAGCCACTGAAGCCATGGCCCCCGACAGTGGTTTCTTTAATAGAAACAGCCGATTCCCAGATTAATGTTGATATCGTTGCCTTCAACAAAACTCTAGATTTGCTTCCTCTGTGTTACAAAAGGCGTCCGCTTCTCCCAAAAACAGCTGACCATTCTCACAGACACACAGCTGGTAGATCTTGTCACTGCGATGTGAGTGTTTGTGATGATGTCTATGTAGTCCAGGGAGCAGCACGTTGGATGACTCTAGCTTTATCTGAAAACATACATAGTAAATTATTTGTGACTGTCTATAGTAAATAATGTAAATAGTGTAGCAGTAGTATTTCATGGCCTAATCATGATTAATTGTATCTAATTTTATATCTAACATATTTAGCTTTAATGGTTACACGTTGTTGTCTGGAAATCAAATAATCAATCAATAAAGTGGACTGAATCAAATAACAACAGCTGTATCAACACTGAACAAGCACACTGTGTTGCAGCTGTTTCAAGTGATAGTGGTCATACTACTTATGAAAAAAGGTTTAATTTTTTCAATGTTTTGGGCTCTCTTGCTGGGTTAAACTAAATTTCAACTTCCACAGTGTTTAAAGATACATAATTCAATTGCTTCTCTTACTTTAATCTACTAAAATGTATATTAACAGAAACAATGTCTTAACAAGGGGTTTCCATGGCTTGAAAATTGACCCGTATGGTTTCAGAAATGAATAAAATAAAACGAGGGACAAACTGCAATGCATGTGTCAATGACACGGTCATAAATGCCGTTGAATAAGAGCCTAAAGTTTTAATGAAACCAAGAGACACTCACAGATCCCTCGTCAGTTTGCAGGTTTATATCCTGGTTGCTGGATACTTGTATGTCTCCAGCTCTGCTCTCTATAGAGATGCCTGCAGGTGTGCCTACCTCCACGCTCTTCATCACGGACTCCAGTCTGCAAACAGGAAACCTTGGTTTAAAATAAGAAACCAAAAGTGGCATAGACATTGAAATTAACCGGATCTAGGATTTCACTACTAGTAGATTCAAACTACAATAAACTATTTGCGCACCAAGGGTGGGGGCAATATAGCACTAAGGTTAACTATCGTTTTCGTATTTGCTTTATGTCAATCTGCGTGAGCGAGCCATTCTTTAAGTTGTATCAAGTCAAAGTCATAAAAGAAGAGAGTTGTGTCTGTTGAAGACGCTAGGCATAATTGGTTATTTGACATTCTTTTAGCGAATTTCCTTATAGGGAAGTAGCTATTACCGTAGGTGGCACGGTAAGACCTAGACCCGGGACCGATTTACTTTTTCATTTTGATGTCCCCAGAGGCCAAAAACACCATTCGTTCAAAATTTTATATATATATATATAGATTTATATATATATATATATATATATATATATATATATATATACGTCCGTGAACGCGATAACTTGAGTAATTTTTTTCCGATTTTGATGAAATTTGGTTTAAAGGTGTAAAGCGGGATAAACCTGAATGAGTTCGCGAACCAGCACGATCGGACCATGAGAACGGGGCTTTACGGGGGTAAACCACCCATATATAATTTACTGGGTTTTATGGGGTAAAAATTGGTTTTTCTCACTTTTGACCCTCAAAACACAAAATTTCCCAATTTTCTCTTTAGACCTTTTTAAAGAGCTTAAAAAAAAAATAATTTAGTATATAAAAGTATTTTTTTTCGATCATTAGTAACCGAGAAAATTTAAACAATTGTAAATTTAAAATTCCCATGTTATTCTTATGGAGAATATTGTCAAATGTTGTAGTTTGCTTGTTTATGGATATTTTTTGATCAAATTTGGCAAATTTATTTATTTTGTACTAAGCTATCAATATTTTACTCAAAAACACGCTTTATTAGTTTCCTTGTAGCAGCAAACCTAGGTACTCGTTAAACCTAATGTTATTAAAATATATTTAACTGATAATCAATTCAGACAAATGGAAATTCGCTTAGTCGGCAGGTTTGCTGTGGCGAGGGTATTTTTAATCTTCCCTTGATTATGCTTGATAAGTTCTATGTTCAGTACCAAATCACACATAGAAGAATAAATGGGAGGTAAAAAGAACCTATGGACCTTTTAGAATATTTTATACATCTACAATTTGATGTAATTATGATGCCTAATTTGATTTAAATAATATTTTTTGCATTTCAAACAGAAAAATTTTGGATTTTTATATTGTTCAATAAATATTACGTAAAGTTTCATGAAGTAAAAAAGCAAGATCTTTACTGAATTCTTATATGCGATCGTGAAAATGCTTTCTTTATATAAATGTATAATATAATTTATAACTCTTTAGTTTGGTTACACTTCTTTTTCGTTTTATGCATTTTACCTTATGTATGTAATTTAGGAAGGTAATATTTAACAAAACACGAGCAAATTCTGATCCCCTGGAGATTTAAATTTGTCAAAATAACTGCATCAAGCCGTGAAAGTACTTACCAAGAATACTTAATAAAATCTTGACTTAGCCTTGTTTTAGAAGTAAGGCGCATTAGTTTTTATATAGCATTGTTATAGAAGCATGCTGCCACTATAATTTCAGGACAATGAATCCCAACCATAGAAACAACAAGTACTGGTAATAGCAGAACACGTCTCAAAAATTGTATTTAAATTAGTTTACTGTACATTTGTGTTAACATACGTATCCAAAAAGCATTACAAATATTTTATTGTTTATTCTCTTATAAAATATAGTATGATTTAAGGAATATTCATTTCACTTACACAAGATTAGACCGTACATCAGCACTGACGACGGGTGTCAACAAATCTCCCTTGAGAACAGCTCCACCTTCGCCTAAAAATATATGCATATTATATATGTATTGGTAGCTAGGATAAAGGTGCTTTTATGAAAAGCTGCAGATTACTGAATTAATTCCCCACAATATTTAGGGACGGAATTTATACATGGATTTCCTATTTCAACCAACCTTCTTGCAAGAATATATATGAAATTATATCCCTTAAATATTTTCACTGTCTCATGGTCATACCCTTTCAGAGGTGGTAACTAGAGTGTTTAACATTTTAAAAACGCGGTTGCGTTGATTATATTATATCTTTCAAAATCCACCAGCAGAAGAACCAATGATTAAGGAGACCTGGGCATAAACACTAAACAGGCACAGAAGTATTTCTGGACTTTTTGAAGTTGTCATGGTTCATGCTTATACTTATCGCATACACTTATACTTTATGGTTCATGGTTGATACTGTATCGACGTATAAAATAGTTTCAAAACATTTCAGACTAATTAAAAAAGTTACTGACAGTAGTGACCTTGGCGTTACTTAACGAACTCCGTGTTTATTGCAGTTTATAACCTCTTTGTGACTTAATACACTAGTGGAAAAAACTACTTCATTTATTAAAATAAGGAAATATCATAAATGAATCAGGAATTTACCTGAGATGGCGAGTAACTGTGTGAAGAGAGACACGGAGTCTGGGTTGACGTTGAACAATGTTTTGCCTCGAGGATCAGACACTGTGAAGTTGTGAGAGTTGATGTTCAGGACACTTCCACCTTGAGAAACAAAGACAAGTTAGATACAAAGATGTCAATATATTGCAAGACAATTGAACTGTTGTGAGAGTTGATGTCCAGGACACTTCCACCTTGAGAAATAACGGCAAGTTAGATATAGAGATGTCAACACATTGCAAGACGATTGATCTGTTGTGGAATTTTATGTTCTGGACACTTCCACCTTGAGAAATAACGGCAAGTTAGATATAAAGATGTCAATATATTGCAAGACAATTGATCTGTTGTGGAATTTTATGTTAAGCACATCTCCACCAAGGCTACCTTTTGATATAAGGAAAAAATTCCTGTGATTTAGACCGTTTGTAGTAGTAGGATAAGAGAAATCGAGAATTTAGGAAAGGTGATGTCTAGACCTTCAACTTTAGTAATAAAGTTAAGTTGAAGATTTTGTTGAATGCTTATAGTTGGTAAGTTAAAAAAATATGATGGTGCATGTCCAAGCCACATCCACCTTGAGAGACAACATGTCAAAGAAAATGTTTATAATCTATATTAATCTATACTAGTAAAAGACAAATCATTTCATTTTGGAAGTTGAGTGAGATTCTTTTATTGATTGGCCAAATTATTACCATTTGGTAGACACATATGTTTTACTAAATTTTTTTGACAAAACCTCTTCAAAATAAATTAGCCACATACCCAGTTCAATGGTAGATGTGGATAAGCCAAGTCTGTCAGTAGTCCTCAGTGTAAGATTTTTGACGCTTCTCACAGTCATCGGTTGACCTTCCCTAGTCTTGAGCCCAGAGGTGATCAACAGATCTCGTACGTAAGACTTGGCTGTGAACTGAACACCTCCTCCGAACGACTGCAAGTAGTTCATTCCATGCTGAAGACAAAAAAAATTGTCTAAATGGTGTCTCCGACCATTGCTAGTGGTGCTTGTTTATCAAATATTCAAAATATCATAAGCTAATCCGGGTTATAATTATTATATATTAACTTAAAAAATAGGTGGCCTGATAGAGATCGATGAACGATCAGCATGTTTAAAAATCCCCCTCTACTCGGTCAAGGGCGATTTTTAACCGGACTTTTGTTATGTTGCTGTTATGTGTTATTTTATGTCATATGACAATAATTAAATGTGGTAGGTTATATTACGACTTAATCCAACACATTTAACCTATCAACTGTGTCGATTTGATTAATTGTTTGCAGTGTATTAATGAATATTTTTAAACCATTACATCTTGTCTTTACCTCCTTATCAAATATAAATTTATCTCAAAATAAATGGTTACATTGTTTAGGCTAACTCAATGATTACTGTTTATAATGAGATGAGAATTAGTCATAGGTACGTTAATTCAGTTGTTAAATAAGTCTTTTGTTTAGCGAATATAGTCTTATTTACTTCTTAAACAAGTAGTTCTGTAGTTAGTTGTTAATATTATGTTTAAAGTCAATTCTAAACAGATGTATACACTAATTTCATATTTATAAGACATTTAAATTGTATGTTGTTAAACAACTGAAATTATTTTTTCTACTATTACTACAATATTGCCTTTTTATAATATAAGTTGACAAACAGTAGAAACCCCACAGACGCAAGGCAGCTCTTGCTCAGTATATACACAATATATACACATATATATATATTGGCTATCTGCTGATTCAATAAAAAAACTGACTTCAATAAAAAATAACTACAGTAATGTATGTTGTTCATTCAGTTTTAGAATATATGTTTTGTAATGTGTTATTTATTTGAAAGTGTGTATTTTATTTATTCATGTTGTAATATTACTTCTCTGCGCTGTAGCTAAAAATGCAGATACCTATTGTACATACATAGGTTCTACCTATTGTTTGACATTTTGTGCCTATTTTTCGGTTATTCACAAAATTTCAGCCCTGGTCAACTTACCGAATCAACGCTGAGGACCTTGCTGATCCAAAACACCAACGTCAGATTAACAGTCATCATTGACACGAGCACTATCAGTACCACAAACAGGCACCTTCGCTCCCAGCAGATGATCCGGGCCATGCTTGGGGAACAGGTGAACTCTCTTTCTGTTCTGCTGTCAGAGTCTGCCATGCTGGAAAATTAAATTTTAAATGAGATAAGTGATTTTGCTAGATAATAGACTTTGGTCCATGGGAAATTCGATCCACTTTGTAGCTTTCAGTTGAAGATATTTTTTAAAGTATCCTCAATGTTGATTGGTAGGAATTTTTTTTTGGTCAACTTCCAAAGACCAAGATTTTACAAGATAATTGATGTTTATTTATAAAATTAAGATTCATTACACAGTTTTTTTTTTTTTACGCAACCCAAACTATATGTACTGTAAGACACTGTTTAACTACAAAACAAGCTTGAATTTTGGCATCCCTGTTTTCTTTACTTCATTGCCGATCAGCTGAAATACATTGTTGCATCCTTATCTGAGCTTTAGTATTATTGAGAGTTAACTCTAAATAAGATTAAAATAGTATTTTCCCAGGCTGAAAGAGTTAGAAGAATATACCTACTAAAAATAAATCATTGGTTTTACTCCAAGAGATGTTTGAAATTAAATTTCAAGGTGTAATTCCAGTATAAACTATTATTGACATGCACAAGTTTAATCGGTTCAATCAAACCGGATAGGTAGAAAAGGTTATTAACCTTTCATACGATTGAAACTTTAGGAACCTGTTCTACATACGCCTGGGAAAAATTATATCTTAAGCCTTATCCTAAAATTCCTTATAGTGATTCGCCCGGTTTGAAATCGGTATCATGTTAAGTTTGTAAGAATTATTATTTTCTCTAGTTATCACAAAATTAGAAAGACAAATTCCAAATTAACATCTGATTTGCTTGAAAGGTTCAATTTATTTTTACATTTTTTTTCTCTGTGACCTCAAGCAGATGATTGAGACAAATCTGACAAATTATTTCGTAAATCCAGGGTGAGTTTAAAATATCTAACATTCTATGGTTGTTGGTTGAACCAATAACAGTTTAGTAGTAGTGTTAAAGAACTTTTCTTTATTAAATCAGGGACATAAAAATGTTGCAAATAGTTAAATCCACCAAAGTACTTCATTATTGAAGTCCCAACATGAATTTACTAAAACAACTTAAACAGCCATTATGTAAGTCTTTCTTTGATTCCAACTGGTTATGTTTTAGTTTTACACCTAAACCTTTCATTTACGAAGCTAACATCAAACAGATTTTATATTGATGATGTAGTCTAGTAAATTCCTAATAAATGTTGAGTTTTGAGTTCAAAGACCTAATAGAAATCAATGTCCCCTCACAATATTACAATAAAATTACATATTGCATAAGCATATTAAATCTTTTACACCATCTTCGTTTGAAAACATATTGAACACCATGAACACACCTCAGGCAAATTTTAATTTATTTCAAGTACCAGTGACCAAGGTTTAAAGAGTCAACAGGTATAGTACATTCATCCTTGTTATATACTTTTAGAAACTTTTTGAGCTAAAATTAAATCAAAGGCCAATTGCATGTATGCTTTATGCTTTTGTAATCCGAAGTAAAAGTTTTACAATTTCTTTATGAATAACAGATTTTTTTCAACCAAAAAGTATGGAAGCAAAAGAGTTATTAAGCTAATGATTCCTATATCATTTTATGTTGCAAATTATTAATAGTAAGAGAGTGGATTGTATTAGTGTATTGAAACTGTACATATATTTATTATTAATTACAATAAATATATTTTATAGGTAAGAATGCCTTAGAAATATAATTCAAAATTCAAGTTTGAACAACTCCAAAGCTGGATATACCAGTCAATATACCAGTCACATACCTTGACATGATTGAAATTTCTCGTTCACAATTACGACTAAATAATCACATAAAACTAGTATGTGGTTTCCAAACCGTCTTTGGCCACGAATCAAAAAAACTGTAAGTTTTATAGCTAATACAATGGTTTTTTTTAACAGATTATTTACAACTATTTTTACAATAAATCAAACTTTCATCAACAGCACAATACACCAGCGTTCGCTTCGCACGCACGACGGTTCGCAGCTGGCAACTAAAGCTATTTTTGCCATTCCCTCGCCCCTCCCTATTATATCCAGAAACAGCTCCGTGTTTCGTATATACGAGCCACGTATTGTACCAAACATTGCTCAGTTCCAGCCAGTTAATTTCTAAGTATTTTTGGGAGACTATGAGTAATTCTCTGGCAAGCTCTACCTTCTCACCGTTTAACTGTGCGACAGATTTTGAACGTCGTGTTGTTCAGAAGATTAAGTGTTCAGGCAACAAGATTATTCAATTATTAAATCTTAGAATGGTTGTTCAGTTTAGTCAATGTATTAGCTAAACATCTTAGCGGGAAATCAACTTTGATTCGATAAAAATAATGTGTTCTCAATATTTATTATTTATTCAAAAAACTCTCGACTAATACAGTACGTGTTTTCATGATCCAGATTATGAGTTGTCTTAACAGTCTTTCGCTGCTATCCAGTTTTGTGACAGCTTTGGAGGATTTGTGCTCACAAAACCGTCTCTTTTAATTAGAAATACCAAACTTGTATAGGTCCAAACTTTTCAATTTTTATAATATATTATCTGATTACTTTAGTTCGTTTGCTATTATGTGAGCATATTAAAATTTCTTTTCTAAGAATGCAAAACAAACCTATAAATATAATGTTTGACTTAAAAATAGAACAGAATGTGGTTTTATAGATAATTTAACATATAACGATTTGCATTAAACGAATAAACTTCATGTACGATCAGTTTAACTTTTAAAATTTGCTACTGAGTGCATATTAATATTTTCGAGTTGGAATAATATTTACCCGATTGGAATATGTTTATTTATCTAGAGCCCAAATGCTACAAACCTTAAATAATTACTGGTATTAGTAGTTATACACAGAAAAGAGGGGGATATTACTATATCAAGATACAATTCAACATTTCATTTCGGCTAAAATGCTACGTTCTTATAAATGAAGAAATTCACTTTCGTAGTGATTTTAGTTATGGTTCAGTAGAAATACACAGACATAGTATTTTAGACACAGTCCTTTGTTTTATAGTCTCTCTACACCCATAACCTCTAGGACTATCTTTAATTCTGTAGACATGCTGGGTGCATCTGTCTCTTTTGCACCAAATAGGTATTGTTTGACAAACAAGCAAATGGGTGAACAAACACATTTCAATAATATACAATGTGTGAAGGTTAAGATAGATCTATAATATTTTAACTTTAACAAAATATGTTAAATTCAAGCATTTTTTGGAAACGGCTAGTTATGCAACTACATCTTGTGAACACATTTCAAATTAATTAATGAAAATTATATTATTTTATATAGACATTTCATTACTATCAAAAATGCTATTTTTATAAAATCTAATAAAAATCTATATAAATATATTGTAATATATTTATTTTATTACAAACTAAAAGATGATACGTTCTTAGAGTGAAAATTACGTATCGCTTCTATGTTTGAGACAAAATAATCTATATAAATGGTGTCATGGATGTAAAATAAGTTAATGGATTATGTCTTTACTAAATAAGTTTGTTGTTGCAGTGTTTAGTTATGTCATAAAAAAGTATGGTCTAAAAAATTAAGTATTCTGATTTTTTTTGTTTTTCAAAATACTAATACTTTGGTGCCAAATTACTTTTATTATAACCCTCTATATATTTATTAAAAGGTATTTACAAAAATTAATGTTTTCGGAAATTAGTTTTTGTATGTTAGATGATGGCAAATCTATGGATGCGCTAAAGGTTGGCCTAATGTTTTCGGAAAGAGAGAATTAAAGATGTGTTGGTTTTCGAAAACTATAATATGCGTAGTATGGATTCTTAAAATACCCATCATAAGAATCGATGTTATATAGTGCAAAGTCTATTTAAAATTGGTGCATATGAATTATATAGTTCTGAAATCGAATATGCAAATTGTAAGCATTTCAATAAATTTTGAACTTTAAAAGATTATTCATATTAAAAAAATGAAATAAAATTAATGTTTCAGGAAACTTACAGTGTTTAAATATATATTTAATTGGTACGAGGTTAGCTAGAGTTACGTAATATAAGGGCAGAAGCGACACAGAATGTCCTAGACTGAGGCGCGGCACGGCGATACTGACTGTAGAGGGTAGTGAGCCGTCAGGGGGAGGGGGTTGGAGGCGGAGTCCGACCCACCGCCCCAACGACACAATTTCACATGTGCATCGATATTTTCAGCTGTTCTTAAGAAATATATTACTGCTTAAAGAACTTTACACCTGTATCTATTTTGGTACACACAAGATGGAGTATTTTCGAGTTAAAATACCAATTAAGTTCATAAAATTTATTTAGAGATCAACACGAATTTAAAGTTGTGGAATTAGACTTTTTAGAATATTTTAGTAAATTCTCAAAATTTTCCTTTCCACCAAATCTTGTTATATTTACTATCTATATACTGTACACTAATATAGTACTTATAGGCTATTAGTCTCTATCTGGGACCATAAACACCAGACTGGTCCAGGGGAACCGGTCCCGCCAAAATAATGAATAAGAAGAAAACAAAGTACCGCAAAAGATATATTGTAATATATTTTTAGTTGCTGTTTAGATCTAGGTTGTGTAAATAGACTGTCAATAAGGTAAAAATAACTGGGAATGTTCCAACTACAATAATTTGCTTAAATCTACTCAATCCCATTGGTGTGAACCCCACTTCTTGCGGTGAATTTGCCTGCTACTGACTGTTGTTGGATCAAAGATAAGTAACTTGTTTAGAGGATGAGCTTATTCAAAACCTTTGGGTGAAAATCTGTCAACTAGCATTTAGTTTTCAAATGCTCATACCAAATCCAAAGACCATTTCTGTCAGGTTATTGGTAAGACTCTGACGGGTAAGACCTGCACCTGTGAAGGTTATGTAAGGTAAAACATTCACCGACATTGCTCCGGTAAACATAAATAAAATTTCTAGAACAAAATTCTCCATACATGAAACTGTCACTTTATGGCAGATCTCGGAAAAGTGACAGTGTCTATAAAAATTTGAAGAGGGGATGTAAAGTTAATTGCATATCTTGATTTAAAATTGTTTACATATTTCTGATAACTAACAATTTTGTTTAAAGTAGTTTTTTCACCATTTTCACTGTTATTGTAATTCCATTTCAATTATATTACAATGATAAGTTATCTCCTTTATCCCACTTATAATTTAGCAAATAGTAAATCTTTCCTACAGTCACCCGACAAAGTGGGCTTCCTTGCACTGATTATAGTACAGAAAGCTGCTAATTGCTGCATTTACTTACTTTGACGCACACTTTTTCCTTTGTCGCACACCAGTATTCCAAGCAAACAACATGCTATATAATAACTGTTTTGCTGCAATCGAGAACTTTCTCACTAAACTCACTAAACATTTTCTCGTGTGCAGCAAAGTGTCACTTCGCCCACTAGTTATACAAATAGCTATGGTGGACGCAAACTCAATCGCCGCACAATCTTTTATTTATAAAATTATTTTTTTGTTAATTTTTTGTAGACGTTTTGTTAAACAAAGATTTTGGTTTCCTTATTTTTCTTATAAACACACACTTACGTATTTTTATGGAATAATTTGTGTACTACATTTTTTGTAATTATACTGCAAGAACAAAGATTTATTCCTACATTGAAAATATATTAATTGAGAGACATCTTCTGCTAGGCGAATCAATGTTCAGTTTTTATTTAATTTGAATGACTACCTCTAGTCTCAAAACATTGTACATTTCTAAATTCTTATTAGTTGTGTAGTTGCTATTTAGGTTGTCTTGGTTAGTAATTTGTTTATTTTATATATTTGTTTGTTATTCTAAATGTGGTTATTTATTAAGATAAAATTTTTGTTGTACAGTAAAAACAGTATGATCACGTACACAGTATAGTGGTATTGATAAACGTTGGATCAATCAAGGTATTTTGATCTATTTATGAAATCAAGTTAAACAGCGTATTAGGCCTGGAGAAAATCCAGAATTGGCTCAAATGCATGTATTCTGAGATTAAAACAAAACCCCTTTAAAGAACACAATATTTATTATGAAAGCAAATAAAACGAACTTAATAAAATAGTAGGTTGACATAATATGTTAGTATTAGCATTAGTATGTTAAAGCAACCCTATTGAATATACCATCGTAAGGTCGTAGAGGGTAAATCATATACTAAAACTGACGAAGGTTGAATGGTCAAGATTGTGCGACGAGAAAAACGGAAGATCTATCATAAATTTGAAGAACGTTTATGTTTGATTTACTTTTTCCAACTCAAAATTGTTAACTTTTTGACAAATTTCCATCCTAGCAAGAATTTTATTTCCTGGAGAAGTATTTTTACCTTCATAGCTATACTTTGGCAAAACGAATCGATAGGGCCATAGTATTTTGGCTAATCAAGAATACTTGATCGGTTTAGAGTCTTAAGAATATACCTTAAATTCCTTTGAAGAGTACTATCTCCTGATTATTAATACTTTAGCGATTGGTTGCCTTCTTTGTTCCTTCGGCCCATCATCACCCTTGGGTAACATTGATTCTTTCCACTGCTGTTTGATAGATTGATGTGGATCACCAATTTCAGAACTGCTATTTTCCATGGCCAGTTCAACATATTGAGCTTTGGAAGTTCAGCTTCGGTCGTAGGGACTAAAGTTACTCAACTGCTAATTCTAGCCTCATTCTACAACTGCATGCTAGCAGTCTAGTAATATTGCTCAAGCCACTCCAATGAAGTCACTTTCCTCGCTAGGCACTAGTCGCCTCAAAGGAATGGATTCAGTTTATTCACATGCAAACCAATAGGGCCAATGATTCACAAAGTCATATCTCCGTGGACACAGCCCCAAAGAAGTAATGTAAGCAACTTCACTTCTCTGTCACACAGACGTATGGCTAGAGTCGCTAAAATCATTGCTACAATTTACTTTTAGTTTGC